AGCCTCCCGGGCTCATCTTAAAAATCCTACACACGACTTCTGGCTATATCATATTATTTTCCTTTAAGTTTCAAAGTCTTCTTCCACTTCAGGTAGATTATCCTTCACTTGAGTTCTTCTTTTTTCGCCGTCGCAAGATTTCATATCGGTTGAATATTTCTTTTAAATGTGAAGTGAAGCAACCTTTACTTCTCCAAAAATCGTCTTCTTTATCTTAGTTTCTATCTCCTGCATTCACAGTAGCCGCTCAACACATCAAATACAAGCTCTTAGGTAAACTTCTCACAAAAGTAGAAAAAATTCCACGCGCCGCCATCTTTGTTTTGAATTTTCATCTTTTGATCTCGCGCTTCTTTCGCACGTTTCTCTCGCGCGCGTCACTCAAGAGTGACCTGTTCTCCGCGCGAGGAAACTGGTACGATGGCTCATACCAGCGCTATGTTGGTGTTCAACTTTTAGCAGTTGAACACCAACATAGCGCTAACTCGCCGAAAACGCTTCAAAATAGCCTGAGACGCTAGGAATCAACAAAGAAAACAACAAGGCAATAAGGTAAGCCCATTTTATTTCAAAACAAGGCATTTTTTCTCTCTTTTAAGGCAAACCGATAACATTCCATACAAACCTTTATAAATATAAAACGTTGCGCAACACGGTAAGAATCACGTCCGCTTTTCAAGTAATGAGCTTGGGCTGCCTGTGATGAGTTGAGTTAAGTCCCGAATGAATGGAGAAACTTATAAGCTCTACCCTTACCATAGAAAAATGATATCCTGTAATTCTAGAACGGGTTTGTCAATCAATCCTGACTTAACAAAGACAACGCACTATTTCCGACACAGTGTAAGTAGACCCACATGTGGTGAATGAATTTTAGATGTTTCCAGCGTTATTTCGTAGGTAGATGTCATGTTGTCCTTGATAGCCCCCAAACGTTGGTCCAAAACTACTACAGCGGTAGATTGCATATCCTTGATATATCGTTATTGAGCCAGCTTAACAGGTTTATAACCATGCACGTTGTAGAGCGAGAAAATAAAGGCTTTAGCCGCCGATGTATACCTACAAGAACCTCAGTTCAGCCAGGGAGATTGATCAGAAGAATGTTTGCTAAGTGTAATCGCTTCGAGACTAAATCGTTCCGAATGTTGTAAGGCTCCTTGAATTTTACACTAAGTGTTTAAGCTGTATTTCTTTTCTAATAGGGGTATGTTTCTAACGAAATTGTGGTGCTGCGTCGACGGGGGATATCATAAGATAATTTGGTTTTGTCAGCTTAGTTGATACTGCAAATCTGCCACCTTGAAGAGTTTCGAAAGCTTACGTTTCGAGCCGTAGTTCTTCGTTAGGTTGAAATGTCTACAAAAGAGTGCTCCGGTCTCTGAATATGTTTCAAGGCTTAATTAGCTCTTGTGTACTTGCTTTCGTCGCATTTTTAAAATATCTTCGCCATAAAAATCTTCTAACAAAAGATACAGCCACTTCAGTTTCCAACCAACATTCCTGATTCGTAAATATCGAACACTACTTGACTATGTTGATTTGTTCAAATCAAAAAATCAAAACGATCGCTGATTCGTTCGAATCAACATAAAAAAAAATTATTTTAAAAATTTCAAGTTACAATTATAGATACATAAGCGTATGTTCATCTTGATGATCGAGAAGTAAATCACGCGGAAAGTTTGCGACGTTTGTAGGATGGTAAAGAGTTGTTTTATACGTGCACGAAAGGGGATGACGAAGTAGGAACGACTGCGGCAACAAAAAGCCTGATAGGTGTTTTTGGTTTTTTTCGCTGTTTTTTTTTTCTTTGTTTTTTTTCCTGTGAGGCCAATGAGCAATGAAGCAACTTCGCCAGATTTACTGAAGTACGAACTGCTAATGTAAATTAAAATGGAAATGTTTAGAAATATCAGCGTAAGTTCGCTTAGAAAATTTTGTTGTAGCTCATAGTGCATATTGCTCCAGCTACAGTCAGACCGTTTTGTTCTAACACCAAGTTTACCATAAGTCTTATTCTCCATTTCTTAGATCAAAAACTGGCCAAGGTTATATAACGGCATTCATTGACAGGCAAAACAGTAGATTTGGGTTTTATTTATTCATCCCATCACCGATATCATCTGCAGATGCAATAACTTTGTGAAACTAACACTGCAGCAGCTTCCCTGCACCAAAATTTCTCGCTTATTGAAGGTCACCTCGTAGATGCGGAACATCTTCATTCTGAAAAACAAAACAAAACAAAAAAATCAATAGAAGTTGTTTTTAGTTCAGTAGGGAGTATCTGTCGATAACAGGAAGGAATCGACAGAATTCGACCGCAACAACGTTTAATGCGCAGGTTTTAGCTGGTCACAGCATCTGTTCATTTATTGTATACGAATAAAGCCATGTGAAAGCCATATCATAGACTGGACTATGTTAAACCAATATTTAGCCGACATTTAATTATCTGTGTCAGAGAACTAAAACTACATTAAGATACCTATTACACGAAGTCATTTTTTTGCGTATCTATTTAGCTAATCATATGTACAAATCAATTCTGATAGAGGAAAAATTTTAAAAAAATTTAAAACACGGCTTTTTCAAGCCCTAAAGAGCTCTTATTTTGTCTCAAAGATGTCCTGCAGACTGGTGACGAGTCAGCGGGTGATGGCGCATAAAACTGTGAAAAGTCTCAGTTGACACTAATATCTCTTTTAATTTTGTATTAGGGGCCAACCATTTAACTTTTGAGGGGGGTGGGTGATTTTGAAGAAAAATTTCCCCCAAGCACTTGTTGGACGAAAAAAATTGCATGCAGCCCAAATGTAACAGAAAAAATGTACCAAAAAATCGGAAAAAATATCCTGCACAGCAGATTGTTAGGAAAAAAATTTCTTGATGACCAGAAATCACCACCCCCCCCCCCTCAAAAGTTAAATGATCGGCCCCTTAGTCAACGTTGAAATACTCTTGAAATAATGTCCGATAGCGGTGTATAACCTATCTTTGGCAAGCACGACCGAGCGTTATGATACATCTTACAGTGCGGTTGAGCCCTACGAAGGAGAACCGCGCGCATTAAACGAAGATTTCGACGAAGACTGCGGACAAAGACGGTTTCTCAACCGTTATGTTCAGGTCAAGATCAGAAACAAAATTCCCGTTACTGAATGTTTAGTTCGTTGCGTCTGTGTTTAGTTTTCTGTTACAAAATCTATGTCAAAGAGGGGTAGCTG